AATCTCGACAACACAGAATCCAGAACGTTATCTTAGTTGAATGTCGGGGCGGTCGTTATAACACCTGATAGCTAATTACCGGACATAAGTTTGGACTTATCCTAATATCTACAGATCTAGAGTAAAAGTAGATGGTTTAGCACTCGGGCAAAAAGGACCCCAGTCCCACCCCATCATCTCCCCAATAACCTACCACATCCCCTCAACTAACCCTCACCCCTCAATACCACCCCTACAGCCCCCTATCCCTTAGCCCCCCCCCCCTCCTTAACAACCAATCCTTTACCCCCCCCCACCCTTAATCCCTTAACACCCCATCCATTAACATCCATCCCCTTACCCCCCATTCCCCCAACCAATCCCCCATCACTACACCCCAAGTCCCAAGACCCATCCCTCCCCCATCCCACCATCCCCTTGATTAATGTGAAATTAATATTAATTGTATAACAGTTATTTTTGTGGTATTATTTAACACTTTAGTGGCTAAGACCTTGATTTTTAATCCAATTAAATACAACATCACTTTTTTAACTTTCATAACACAAAAGATTATTGATATATATATATAAACAAAAACAATTCCTTTTTTTAAAACAATCCATCTTTTTGAAAATATATTTTGCTTTTTAGAAATGTTAATTAATTTCTTCAACCACAAAACGTGAATTTTAACCGTTAAAATTACGGCGCAAAACTTCGCGAGGGAAAAGTGAAACAATGCTTTATCGTTAACAAGAAACATTTAAGGTGATATAATTATGTTAATCATATTCAAATCCGTGGCCCGGAATGACCCGAACCTTTGTTGTCAGGGCAAACCGTCCCCATAAAAAACGGAGCTCTTTTGTGTCTCGCGCGAGGTGACTTTTCCATGTCGTTAGCCTACTCCCTCGCGGTCGTAAAGTTTATGTACTTTTTTCCAAAGAAACAAACAAATTGAAAAACAATCATGTATTCAATTGGCTGTTGGTGTGGAATTGTTTTGTTATAAATTCCATCAACACTCGGAAACGTCATGATATATGAAAAGTAGCAAGCAGGGGGCCTAAGTTTGGGCGTTTCGGAGCTTTTCTTTAAATCTGATGCCCCTTGACAAAGGCGTCTACTGATAAACAACACCAGAGTTTAATCAACCCATTATTTGAAGTCGTCTGCAGCTAAAATTGCATCTGCTCTCAGACAATAGTAGACACTTACAGAGAAAATACGAGCAGTTGACAGGTTTAAGCTACCGACAGACGGCACTATTGTTCTTACGCACGCGCCATTCGCGTGGCCGAGATTCTCGGAGGAGGTCGCGATATCTGAGAACCAATTCTCCCAGAGTGCTACCGAATCTCAGAAATGACATTCGCTTTGCACTACGTCAATTTTAGCTTTTGAATTTTCTCAAACTACTGAATGTTCGTTTCGGAAAGCTGTAATTATTTAATCACGCGGGTATCGAAGTATAAATTATAAAAGGACGGTTGAAATAGCCTTCAGGATTTGTATCAGTCAAATCAATCATCGTCCTTACTTTCTAACCGCGAGTCTTAAAATTCAAATGGAGTGCTATCCATACGGGTAAAATTTAAAAAGAATACAAAAAACTTACAAACGTAATCAATTTCGATTTATTAAAGGTTTCATAATTATCATCCTTTAGCTTCGGTACAAAATTTCTAGTTTCCAGCACCCTAATCATGTTTGTGTTTGAACTATAATAAAAAAAAATGTGATGAGGATTTAAACAATTAAACTAATTTTAGAATGATATTATTTAAAATCAACTTTAACAAAAAGAGATCTTATTTACACATAATCATATTCCATCAGAAAATTGCTGTAAATCTCGAAACCGACAGATCGGTGACAATGACCCAGTTGGTACGATATGGTTAAATTAATTCCGAGACTCCGTGTATCAACACATCCTCGTGTGCCTGTTTTAATTCACAAGATAATTTCATTGGAGACCTTCGCCAGAACAAACGCAACACCAGAACCCCATCAGTATTATCAAACCCATTGTCAATATTTCAACGGCGATCTTGATGAAAACCGGGTATTTTTCACACTGATACATTGGCGTGATGACCTAGGAGTTATTTTCGTAATCAGACCGTGATAATCTAGTGATTTTTATTTCTGTATCATTTGAACGTCAAAGGCGGGGTCGTTGTTCTCAGACGATCTTCGATTGATTAATTGTTGGAGTTATCTGTGATGTAGACAAACAATAGGACAGATTCCGCCAACACGTAACCGTAATGGATTACTATTCTGACCATCTGGACCACGAGTTGAGTAACCTGTTCATCGTCAAACACTCGGACATGAAATTGGCGGGGAGTAATTTTAAATCTGCTCTACTTTATGAAAACTCAATAAAAAATTAAACAGATAATAATTTTGAAACAGTCGTGAATTTCATGTTAGCGAATTACATAAATTAAATATCAATAAAAGTTAACAGATGATAATTTTGTAATAATCGTGAATTTCATCTTAGCGTATTACATTATAAATATAAACATCAATAATAAAATGGATTATTATTAGTCAGTTTTAATATTCATAAAAAGTAATTAAGTAAAATTTTATTATTTTTATTTCCTGATATTGATATTTAATTCAGTTTCATTATAATTATATAATTCAAAATGAATTCGTGCAGTCACAGTCTAGACAGTAGGTTTTCACACGCCGTAATTTTAATTACTATTTCATTTAAACAGGCCACGCGTTACATGGGATCGGTCACGGTTTTAATTTTATAACATGTTCGAATACATTTTATTGAGATTTAATCTTTATTTCTCTGTTTGATAACAATCGTCAGTCACAGTCTCACAGATGTCCCATCCTTTTGATGATCAGTTTTTCAAGTCTCGTTTAATGTACGAAATCTCGTTTGTGACGATAACTTGCGATCCTCTCTTTGTGATTACCATGGCTACGCTTAGTTACAAATGAAATTCTCCAAATCTTTATGATCTTAAAGGTAAAAGGTTTCCTTTTTTATCTAGTACAAAAAGCTGTTTTTTCTGCCATATTTTGAACTGGACACTTTAGTTTAGGTCCAAATATAGCTGTGACAAATTCGAAGGTCCCTGTGTTCCGACTAAACACGGTCCCACACTATAAATTGATTATCCCTATTTCGTTCTACGGAAACAAATCACCGTCACTGACTTTCTGTGTTCTAGCTGACGAAGTGTCACCCTGTAAATTTGATATCCTTCTGTCGTTCCACATAAACAACAATGTTCCCTGACTTTACGGTCGCCGGTCTAATTGGGTTTATATGAAGTGAGTTAGTAAGACAATACCCTTGTCAGCGGTATATATTAAAAAATGATTCATCTAACACTGTCTAAATGTTGACAAACCTCGCGATGATTCAACGATCAACAGACCACGACCCAGATAGGGTTATGTCCGGGACAATTAACTGATTCACATTTGAACCCTTCCAATTTAAAGGTTGGAATAGTTCATTATGAAATGTAAGGGGTGAATGAGTTAACTGGGTGCTGTTTAACCAAAGTGCACAGGATTACCCATTAACTCATTGACCCCTGAAGACAATTTTGAACTCCTCCAATTCAAAGGTTGGAATAGTTCATTATGAAATTTCAGGGGTGAATGAGTTAAACGCTGTTCGTGTTCATTTTCCAGATGTACTGTTTCGTGAATACCCCCCACCCCCCCCA